AACATATAACAAAAGTTGGTTTAACTCTGCTGGCTCAATCTACTCTTCCACTCAAATTATGGGATGAAGCCTTCAAAACTGCCACCTTCCTTATTAATCGCTTACCTACTCCAGTTCTGAATGGTTCTTCACCATATTCTCTCTTGTTTCATTCTCCACCTGATTATTCAGCTCTTAGAACTTTTGGCTGTGCTTGTTATCCTCTCACTGCTCCTTATAATAAACACAAGCTTGATTTCAAGTCCACTCAATGCATTTTCCTTGGCTATAGTCTCCAACACAAAGGCTACAAGTGTTTGGCACCTTCTGGCAGAATTTACATTTCTAGAGATGTCATCTTTGATGAACGTCTTTTTCCCTATTCTACTATCTTTTCTTCATCTTCCAGTTCTGCTGCAACCTCTTCTCCTTCACCTCCTCCTTTTTATTCAGCATCTCCCCCGCTAGCTGAATTACAGTGTGTCCCCAAAAATCTTTGCCACCTGAATCATCTACTAATGTTGAGAGTGTTATTCCTACTGATTTTGCTACTAATACTTTGCTTGGTAGTTCAGATTGTTGTTCTGCACCTGAGCCCACTTATGCTCAAGCAATGAGAGTTGTTGGTTCTGTTTTATCTAGCTCTACGGAATTACCTGCAGCACCTGTTCAGACTAGCTCCCAGTCACTTCATCCTATGATTACCAGATCAAAGAATGGTGTGTTCAAGCCTAAAGCCTTGGCTGCTTATAAATAGCCTTCCACTGTCATAGAGGCTTTGTAGTCCCCTGATTGGAAACAAGCTATGGCAAAAGAATATTATACTCTTTTGAAGAATCATACTTGGGACTTGGTACATCTTCCTGCTGATAGAAAATCAATTGGCTGCAAATGGGTGTTCAAAGTTAAACATAATTCAGATGGTTTAGTTCAAAGATTGAAAGCAAGGTTTGTGGCTAAGGGATTTCTTCAACAAGAGGGTTGTGATTTCAATGAGACTTTTAGCCTTGTAGTTAAACTAACAACAATCCAAATTATATTGACTCTTGCTCTCTGCTGGAAATGGAAAATTCATCAAATTGATGTGAATAATGCTTTTCTAAATGGTGTTCTAGAGGAAGAGGTGTATATGGATCAACCTCAAGGTTTTGAAGATGAAGATAGGAGGCTGGTTTGCAGGTTGAGGAAAGCCCTTTATGGTCTCAAACAAGCTCCCCGAGCTTGGTTTGAGAAGTTAACAACAACTCTATCAAAGTTTGGGTTTGTGTCTAACAAGTGTGATCATTCATTGTTTTTGAGAGTCACCTCCCAGCATACCGCCTTTGTTCTAGTGTATGTTGATGACATGCTTATTACAGGGAGCTCTCAATCAGTTGTGACCAGTTTAATCCAAGCTTTGAATAAGGAATTCTCTGTTAAAGATCTTGATGAGTTGAATTATTTCCTTGGTATTGAAGTGAATAAGCTTCAAGATGGTTCCTTGCATCTTTCACAGAGTAAGTATGTTAAAGACTTATTGCAGAGAGCTCATATGTCTCAAGCTAAAGGAGTGGATACACCTATGCCAACTAGTCTTAGGTTGTCTAAAGTGGAGGGTGAACCAGTTGCTGATGCCACAACCTATAGGTCGATTGTTGGAGCTCTCCAATATGCTACCGTCACCAAACCTGAGATTTCATATGCAGTCAATAAATGTTGCCAGTTTATGCAGCAGCCTCTGGAGCCTCATTGGAAGTTAGTCAAGTGTATTTTGAGGTACTTGGCTGGGATAGTTAGTCATGGGCTGCACTTGAAAGCTACACAAAATTTGCGCTTGTATGCATTTTCTGATGCTGATTGGGCATCGGATATTGATGGCAGACGAAGTACTACTGGCTTTTGTGTTATTATCTAGGTGAGAACTTGGTGTCTTGGTCTTCTAAGAAGTAGCACACTGTCAGCCGCTCGAGTATAGAAGCTGAGTATCGTGGGATGGCACACGCAATAGCTGAAGTTGCTTGGATACAATCACTCCTTAGGGAGCTGAATGTGACTCTAAGGAAAGTGCCATTGTTGTTATGTGATAACCTTAGTTATGTTTTGTTGTCTACGAATCCCATCTTGCTGTTAGACAGTTTTGTATGCCCTTAGCTTCAATCAGAATGATGTACTTTATGAGTTTATTGTAAATGAATAAAGATACATATTTGATTCATGTTC